TTCCTGCTGTTTGTGCCCATGTGCCCATATCACAGAATCAATCACCACAATTATAATTCATTGGCAACCTTATAGACAGGCCTGGAAATGATCAAAATATTGTTACTGTTAATTTGTTAGAGTATGAATACCCCAAATGTATTGTTAGAATAGCTGGGGGTCCTGCTTTATCTGTTCCACGGAGACAAAGAATTTCTGATCCTGGGCACTCTTCTGAGACCTTTATTCTAAGATGTGAGTTTAGGTACTGCCTAAACAATAGGTCTGGGAGGGTGTAAACTGTACCAGTGGAGGACACTTGGATACATTGTTATACTTCTGAGTCATAAGTCCCTCTTTGCCTCCTCTTTGTTTAGGGGAGAGTAATTTCTAGCTAACCTTTAAAAGCACTAAGTTACAAACCTCCCCCAGCATGTCATCACAGCTGTACTGGCTAGCATATGGGGACAGAGTTAAGGTTTTGCCCATTCCCTACCCATCCCTGCCTGCTCACCTCATCTGAGGGAAAGAAAGAGGGGGCAGACATGCTGTACGTACTGCATACCCCTATTAGTCATGTAAGGGCTTAAAGAAGGTTCCTGCTTCCCAATGTGTAATGACTTAGCCATATATTTATGCTGTTTGAACATACATCCACACTTGTATCATTCAGAAGATCACAAGAATTTACTTTTGTTTCTTTTATATATGAAAACACGATACTTTAGATTTGGTACTAGGTTTTAGAAGAATTTGGATCCCACTGACAAACAAAAGGAAGTAATTCTTCATGCAACGCACAGTCAACCTGTCGAACTCCCTTCCAGAGGATGTTGTAAAGACCAGGACTTTAACAAGGTTCAAAAAAAGAACTAGCTAAATTCATGAAGGATAGATCCATCAATGGCTATTAGCCAGGATGGATAGGAACGGTGTCCCTAGTCTCTGATTCTCAGAAGCTGGGAGTAGGTGACAGGCGAGAGCACTTGGCATTGACCACTGTCATAAAATAGGGTATTGGCTACCTGGACCTTTGGTCTTACCCAATATGGTCCCAATACACAGTGTCCTCCTTGCGGCACAGCCCTCAGGCTGAGCCCCAGAGCTATTGCCCCTCCTCTATAGAGAGGGAGCATCAACCCACTGACTTGTCACTTGCCTCAGAGGCCCACTCCAGTCTTCAGTCTAGCTATACCTGGAAAGATATAACAAGTGGGGTTCCGCAGGGGTCTGTTTTGGGACCAACTCTGTTCAATATCTTCATCAACGATTTAGATATTGGCATAGAAAGTACGCTTATTAAGTTTGCAGATGATACCAAGCTGGGAGGGGTTGCGATTGCTCTGGAGGATAGGGTCATAATTCAAAATGATCTGGACAAATTGGAGAAATGGTCTGAGGTAAACAGGATGAAGTTTAATAAAGACAAATGCAAAGTGCTCCTCTTAGGAAGGAACAATCAGTTTCATACATACAGAATGGGAAGCGACTGTCTAGGAAGGAGTACGGCAGAAAGAGATCTAGGGGTTATAATGGCTGAATATGAGTCAGCAGTGTGATGCTGTTGCAAAAAAAGCAAACATGATTCTGAGATATATTAACAGGTGTTTTGTGAGCACGACATGAGAAGTCATTTTTCCGCTCTACATTGCGCTGGTTAGGCCTCAGTTGGAATATTGTGTCCAGTTCCGGGCATCGCATTTCAAGAAAGATGTGGAGAAATTGGAGAGGATCCAGAGAAGAGCAACAAGAATGATTAAAGGTCTAGAGAACATGACCTATGAAGGAAGGCTGAAAGAATTGGGTTTGTTTAGTTTAGTAAAGAGAAGACTGAGGGGGGACATGATAGCCATTTTCAGGTATCTAAAAGGGTGTCATAAGGAGGAGGGAGAAAATGTTCATCCTGGCCTCTGAGGATAGAACAAGAAGCAATGGGCTTAAACTGCAGCACAGGAGGGTTAGGTTGGGCATTAGGAAAAAGTTCCTAACTGTCACGGGAGTTAAACACTGGAATAAATTGCCCAGGGAGGTTGTGGAATCCCCATCTCCAGAGATATTTAAGAGTAGGTTAGATAAATATCTATCAGGGATGGTCTAGACAGTATTTGGTCCTGCCATGGGGGCAGGGGACTGGACTCGATGACCTCTCGAGGTCCCTTCCAGTCCTAGTATTCTATGATTCTCTTACTCCAGAAGCAAACTGCAGTCTACCCTGGCTACCTTCACCACTGGCACAGGGAGGGGAAGAAAGAGGTGGGGGTGGAGGGAAGCCCAGGCATACCCAGTACCCTGGGCCCCTTCCCAGGGACCCTTTAGTAGCAGGTCCTCACTGCCCCTCCTCCAACCCTAACATCATCTACTTCCCTGGGCCACTTCCCCACCACTTTTGATTCCTGCCCCAAGCACTCTCCTGCCAGGCCTTGAGCCTAACAGATATAGCAAAAACATTTCCAGTGGTGGTGAGCAGACCTCTAGAAAGGCAGCCTTTCCCCTCAGGCTTCTTTCCATAGGCTCCCCTTCCCTGGTCTATGGCTGCCTTTTTATCAGGGTAAATGAAAAATTAAAAAATAGGGTGATTAGACTCATGTTGCATAAATTAAAGGAGCTGGGCAAATTCATACAAACACAAAGTTGAGTGCTGTGAGTAACTGAATGCTAGTTTGGCATTAAGTGAACACAAATACCTACTAATATTTTCTGACACACAGCTGGGATTCCAGGAAATTACCTAGTTGGTGATTATTCAACAATTTTTCGGCAACCCTTCTCTCCATGCTCTACAGCACACACAGACACTCACCTTTTCCACTCATGAGACTCCAATACAAACTTCCTATACTAACGAGTGAGTTTTTGGATAGCCACACTAAACCACTTTCATTGTCTGTTTTTGTATCCTAATGGGACTCACTTAGCTTTTTGACAAGAGAAATTCCCAGTTGAACTCACACACGAGGTAAATGCTGAACTCTCATCATATCTTGCAGTTCAATCTCTTGAGGATTGCTGAGCTTCAGAATTTTCTATCAGTGTCAGTTAATAACCCCAGACAAGCCTCTTGATTCTTGCAAATTCTAGCAAAACCTTTCACTGGAACACACTAATCTTATACATGATCCAATAGTCCCCAGTGTACTCATTCACTCAATTGACTCTCATTTTGATTTTCTAATACACAAGAATTTCCTCCATTTGTTTAAAATGGTTACAATTTCCTGTGTTATAAGGCCTGCTCCTCACTGGATTTAAAGGCAAAATTTGCTCCCATTCATTTAATCTGGAGCAACATTTGTTCCTTAATATGCATATTTTTATTTAACACTGGGGAAGATTAAAAACCCTAATTATGCCTTCTGGTTGAGCTAGTCACAAGAAGAGTGAGTGTGTGTATGTGACACATGCATGCATGTGCATGTTGAGAGATGAGGATGAGGGATTCCCTTTACATCTCTCTGTATTCTGAAATTGTCCCATGTACCGGGTAGAACCACATGAGGGCTGTTCTGAACTTAGATAAAGCTGGACATGACCCCTAGATGGCATTGTACCAACAAAAGCTAATTAGGGTGTGGCCACATCCCCTTGTCAAACTATGAGGCCTCTACAGTCTCTATGGCATTCAGGAAGCTTATGTTATGAATGTTCCTTTGGTGGATAGGTCTATTTCTTTTATGGCCTCTGTACACGACATTAGCAGTGAACAGGAGCCATGCAATGGAGACTCAATACTCCTTTCAAACTGAATCAAATCAAATACAGTACCTTCACTATTATTATTATTATTAATTATTATTATTATTGATCAATTTATCATCTAGGTGTTATATTATGATGTAAGAAAAAACAGTGTTCATGCCATAGAATTTACAGGTTAGTAGAAAATAAAGAATAAAGAATACTTCCTGGTTACCATTGTGGAAGTTTAGCGCAAGATTACATGAATAAGAGATATAGCATCTCGGCTACAAAATATAGTGCAGTTGTTGAATTAGCAGGATAGCCCCCACAGGCTGGCTTTATTCTGGCATAGCTGCAGACACTCAGACCAAAATAATGTGTTTCCTAACTGATGATTCGTTGTGTGTGATTCCTCCACCAGGCCTGATAGGGTTCTTCATTGCTTTTGGCGTAGCTATGGGGAAGATGGGAGAGCAGGCCAAGATGATGGTGGATTTCTTCAACATCCTGAATGAAATCGTAATGAAACTAGTCACTATGATCATGTGGTAAGTCAAGATCATAACTTCTAAGATGCATAAAACACACAAGCCAAATCCTGCCACAGACTGGGTACACTATACTTTATTGGCAACCAATATTACTGGGCTGGTTTGGCTCTTTAAACCATTATAAGGATGGTACAACCAGAACAATGGTGTTTCCTTTTTGGGGTGGGGTGGGATGATAATTAAAGTGCATTTTGAAATATTTCTGAAGATGACAGGCACACTGTCATTTTCTGCCTACAGAGCTCCAAGACATGCAGGCACCATTTTCAGACCTTTAGGACTACTCTAAAAATATCACATTTATGCTAGAGGTTCTCTACAGTAAAAAAAAAAAAAAAAAAAAAATCCCTTCAAAACATAGCAACATTAAGCTTCTCTTGTGAGTCCAACATAATAATAAACAACAGGCATAATTACAGAGGAGCCAAGAGACATGCTCTATTTCCAGTGTTCTGCAGCAAAATTGCCTTGCCCAAAATATGCATTCAACCCAAATGAGATTCCAATGGTTTGCATCAATATACAAATGTCTCCTCCCATAGCCTCTGTGAGTCCACATGCAAAGACTGTATTCTATAAAATCAGCAGAATAAGAGGCACTGAACTGAGGTGTCTCTCTAGGAAACTGTTTTATTCACCACCATTGAATACAGTGTATATTTGCAGAATAAGGCTTTGGCCCAGTAGCAATATCCCATAAGCAGGCATACAAAGTTAGATCTTTATTGAATAATGTTATAATATTTATTTAGCTGCTATGTAGCATTTTTCATCAAGTTTGGGTTTGGATTGTTTGTTGCAAGTATATAATCTTATGAATCTAGCCAATTTTCCTGTGTGAGCCAATCCTGGTTTATGCAAATGTCTGTTTTATGCTCATTACATTGTTTGGACAAGCAGTTTTCAATCTATGCATTGTTCATTTACTTGTTTGATTATCTGTAGTGTGAGACTGGAAGGGAAGCTGTTAGAAATTGAGTAAGAACCTCATGGTTTGACTCCCAAAAGTATGGTATTATTGCTTTTAATGAGGTGTTTTGGCAAGTTCCTCTGAATATGCTTTTCTCATTACCATATATAGAGGCATGAAGGATAGCCACTGAACCACCATCAGTCTGTAATTATGTATCCTCTTGACATCCCAAAGTTTTCAGCCTAGAACCTTGGATCTCTCTCCATAGTTCCACAGAGTTTTGGGCATAGGTTTTACGGCTGCATGCTGTATGGATGAGTTCCATCTCTTCGTTCTGTTGTTTTTCTCTAGGTACTCCCCTTTGGGCATTGCCTGCCTTATTTGTGGGAAAATCATTGCAATTAAGGACTTAGAGGTGGTTGCTAGGCAACTTGGAATGTACATGGTAACAGTGATCGTGGGCCTTCTCATCCATGGAGGGATCTTCTTGCCTTTACTGTACTTCGTGATAACACGGAAAAGCCCCTTCTCATTCCTTGCTGGCATTTTCCAGGCATGGATCACAGCTCTCGGCACAGCTTCCAGGTACTCCATATGAAATGCCTCCTTATTTATTTTTTAGCAGCTCGTTGGCTGCCCTCTAGACATTTTTAGCTGCTGTTTTGAACTTTGCTAGAAAATTTAATCATTAAATGCCAATCAGTAAACAGCTTTTGATCACCTTAATCTATGTGGGGAAAAAAAGATTTACTTCACACTCTGTAGGCTTTAAAGAAAGGCAGTATGGCCTACTGGATAGTGGCTCCAGGCTAAATGTCAAGAGACCTGATTTCTGTTCCCTGCTATGCCATTGGCTCGCTATGTAAACTTGTGTGAATCACGGAACATCTGTGCTTTAGTTTCCTTACCTGTAAAAGAGGGATCAAGTTACTTACCCACCTTGGGTACGCACTTTAAGATCTGTGGATGAAGTGCTATTAGTGTTACTAGTTATTAAATGAGAATGTACAGAACCATAACTGTTATAAGGCTCCATATTTGTCTTAGTTCTGAGGTTAACTGTACCTGTGTCCTCCTCTGTGGTCTATGCAAACATGCCCCTTTACATTGCAGGCTTCCAACAGCACCTTTCTGTGGGTTTATACCCACCCCTCTCTCTCTCCAGACCAGGGGTTTAAGGCTTGCAATTCATGGAGACTCTCTCAGCAGCTGTGATCTCATTTCAGCACCTGCAGCTCCTCTCTCCCCCAGGGGCTATGACCAGCAGCGCTGGCAACTTTCTGGGTCCCTGAGCAAGATGTGGGAGCCCAGCTCTGTGTCCCCAGAATGGGCAGGAAGGGGCGGGGTAGGAGGTTAGCCTCCCCCAGCCAGGCCTTCAGCACAGTCTGGAATGCACCACTCAGGACGCCAGCGGCGATTTAAAGAGCTTGGGACACTGCTGTCACCGCAGTAGTGGTGGCGGCAGTTGGGCACCCTAGGCCCTTTAAAATCCCTGGGCCCTGGGGCATTTGACACCATTGTTGATGGCCCTGGCTCTGAGAGTATTTACCAGTGACCAGCCAGCTTTCACCGTGTAGAACTCAATTTATTTTAGCGCAAAATAATTAGAGAGTAATATATCCTAAAACAATTAACAATCTGCATGTATGCTAAGC